TAAACACTGCTCTCCAGGTTCAGGCCTAAAACCAGGTGGCCCTGTCCCCTGCCACTTCCCTCCATGCTCACAGAGACTCCTGATGAAAGGCCCCTGACAGTTCTACTCAGATGGGGCTGAGCTGAGGGCTGGGAGCAGATCTGCCCTCAGCTGCAGGGCTGGCCAGGGCCTGTCGCAGAGGCACCTGGAGCAGGGGATGGACACAGCTCACAGGAGCTGTGCAAGGGCTGGGCAGGCAGAAGTTGGTGTGTGTGAGGAGGTGTGGGTGGGGAGGGGCGGGCAGGCGGGACATCGGGATATTACCCAGAGGCCGAGCAGCGAGGGCAGCGGCAGGGCCAGGCAGGGCCCGTGAACTTGCTCTGTGGGGCTCATTTAGAGCCCAGGAAGTGCTGGAAGTGGACCCAAGGACCTAACAGTGGCGAGGGTCCTGCAGCCCCAGTCCCAGGTCATATCGTCATGTGAACTGCCTGTTAAGCTCCTTCTTCTACTCAACAACCTCTGAGCCTCAGCATCTCACCAGGTGTAAGATCCAAAGTCCCTATGTTCCCCTCGACACCTCACCTCTGCCTCTCCGTGACCACCTCCCTTTTCAGGGTTCATTCCCCTCCACCTTTCAGGCCTGCTGGCTGGTCTTCAAAAGTGCACCACACCTGCTCGTATGCCCAGGGCCTTTGCACTGGCTGTCCCTCCATCAGGAAGGTTTTGCCCTCAACACCCTCACTTCCTGTCCCACACCCACCTCCAGTCTCCTCCCAAGAGCTGCCTGTCAGAGAGGCCCTCTGACCTCTCTGCTCTGCGGGCCTCAACTCCACCTACTCACCCTTCCCCATATCACTCCTCCTCCCGCCGCCCTGCATCACCACCACCTCACCTCCTTCTCTCAGTCGCTGGCCCACGCACCCGCCAGCAGGCAGCAGGCGTCTGCTGGGTTCTGGGCAGCAGTGAGAGATGGCAGCAATGCCAGCAGTGGGGCAGATAACCGAATGCATGGTCCTGACAGAAGCCTTGCGAGACAGTGTCACGAGCCAGCTGACGGGGACTGAGGCTTTGGAAGGCCACATGTCCACAGTCACCCCTCACCCGTACTGACAGGCAGTCCTTGGCTAGGGTCCCCCACCTCCACACCCCTCTGTCTCCCCTCCCAGGCTCTGAGAGTGCCCTCCAGTCAAGGAACAGGGCCAGGGAGCTTGGGGTTCCCGCTCCCCATCCAGCTTCAGGCCTGCCCTGCCCTGGGCAGCTGCTGGCCATGGAAATGGAGCCAGAGAGAGCAGAGGTTCCTTGTTTGCTCCCTGCTGTCCCCGCAATATGCCTGGCACTGGCAGGCTGTCAAGATCTCTGGGCTGGTGAGAAAATGCATTTAGCTCTTCCCCTGCGCCAGACGCAGCCCTTGCTGTATTACACACGTCACCTCATTTGGGCCTCACACAGCAGGGGGAGTAGGTAGCACATCACCCACCATGACAGATGAAGGGATAGAGGCATGCAGATGGGGGCTGCTGGGGTCACGCGGCCAAGCCGAGGCCTGACGCGCAAGCACTCTGACGCTGCTGATGCGAGGACCTGAGGCGGGCTCCCACGCTGGGGTCTGCAGTAGGAGCAGACATCAATGGAGGGTCAGGGTGAGGAGTGACACAGGTCTGGGCTGAGGCTTTTAGAGTCCAAGGGCCTGAATCCCAACCACACACCCCCAGCAGCCCGGGTCCCCAGCCCCTCCTCTCTGTAGCGCTGCCCCGCCCTCCTCCTTCTGGCTGCCCTTAGATGATGCTTCGTGAAAGGCTGAGAGGGTCCTACAGGAGATGCTGCCGGGCTCCAGGGCCTGACAGAGCCCTCCTGCCCTGTCCTGGCCTCTAACTCCCACCCTTTATGAGGGGTGACAGGATGACCCCCGTTGGTGACCAAGGTCTCATTCCCAGAACACTCTGCCTCTAGCCAGCACCTGGAGAGGCTCTCCTCTGAGGCTCTCTCCCTGACTCTGGCCGGCAGGACCCCAGGCTGGTGCACAGAGTCCCCTGCTCCTCCCAGGCCCCTGCCTCCCCAGGCCTCTAGACGCAGGGAGGGGCAGCCGTTCCCTCAGAAACCCAGAGGCTCGTCCTCAGACACTCAGCTAGCACCTGGCCTGTTTCTACCATGAGCCAACGTGCCTTCTCTAGCTCTGTGGTGGGAATTCTTTGAGAAAAGAGGAAAAAAGTTTGTGTGTTTCTTGAGCACCTATTTTGTTCTAGGGCCTGTCTCAGGCTCAGGGGTGCAGAGCAGTATGTGCTGTGACCCTCGTCCTCCCACAACAGCACCCGAGTCTTCCCCAAGTGGAGCCTGCATCCAACAGGGGGCCAGAAAGATCTCTTGGCAGCTGTGCAGAGAGGCTGAGGCTGGAGGCAGGAAGAGCAGGCCAGAGACTCGGCAGCCTGCCCCAAACCCCAACCTTGACAACTGGGAAAAGGCAGGAAGCATGGGCTGGTCATGGGGACCAGGGAAGCCCAGGTGCTTGGAGGGTGGTGCCTTGGTGCCTTGCCCAGAGGAGAAGGTGTCTGTACCATCTGCCTGGGGTGGGGGTGTTAGGACTGTCAGCAGTACTGGAGGGTGCTGGTAGTTAGGAGCCAGCTGACCCTGTGGGGCACAGAGTAGGCAGATCCCTCCCAGGAGCTCCGCAGCAGCACCAGGATGTGACTGCAAGCTCGCAGACCCTGCAGTTAAACAGGGCTAAAATGATCACGTGGCCAGTATTGCTCGATGTGCACTGGCCACATGCAGACTGATCCCTCCCCACAAGGGGTATGGGAAGTGAAAGGGGGTGCAGACAGAGGGCTCCAGGTTAAATAAAGGCCCCTGTTCTTCAACCATCTTCTTGAGAAGATGGCTTTCAAAGGAAGCTTGTTAAACCTACAAAGCATCCTCAGCCAAGACGGGAGCAAAGATCCCCGAGGGCCTCGCCAAGCTGGCATGCTGAGCAGAATCTAATGAGGTAAATCTGAATCGGGACAAACTGTTCAAAAGCCAGTGGTCCAACCAGGGGGTGTCTGACTCAGCATAAGTGAGTGGGAAAACACTGAAGCTTTGTCTGCAGAGAATTCCTGCTGAGCCTGAGGGGAATGCAAGTCCCTGCGGCACTTCTGCCCTGTGCTGTCTTCAGGCTTGTGCCGCTCTTTGAGGCACAGGAGGCCTAAAGCCTGCCTTTCTGACTTACTGATTCCTGGGTGACCTCACCCACTCCCGTGGCTTCATTTGCCGTCTAAAAGCTGATGAACCCCAAATGATATCTTTCTAGCATACACGGCGGGCTCTCCCCTGGGACTGGAGCAGGAAGCATTGCCTCCTTGAATGAACTCCTTGGAGGTTTCAAGGGCACCCACTCTCAGCACCACTTCCAAACCTGATTCAGGGTCTTTGCTCTAAACCTGGTCTTGTTCCCTCTGGGTTGGTGTCACCAGCGGCTCTAGCACACATACCAGCAACTGTGATGCTGCCCCTGTTCACACCCATGCTGAGTACCAGTCCACCCAGTACCCACCAAAATTTTCTCAACCCCATCCACTTCGCTCCTTGGCACCACCCGTGTTCAAGCCACCTGCGTTACTTGCTTGGGTAAATGGCAGCCTCCTTACTGTGTTCCACTCAGCGGCTTTCTCTCCAGTCCATTCCCACACTCCCTTCTTAAAGCCCTTCAAGCTTTCACAAGGCCCTTAGGATGAAGATCAACAGTCCCACGGCCACCAGACCCGGTCACATTCTGGGCCCTCTGTCCTCCTCCACACACTCAGCAACTCCCCTCCTCCGGCCCATCACTTCAGCCAGCCTCTTTCGTTTCCTTCCGTGGAGCGCACTGACCCAGGGCCTCTGCATGGGCTGTCATGCCTGCTAGAAAGTTCTCCCACCAGAGACTTCCCTCATATCATTTCAATCATCGCTTCCTCTGGGAAGGCTGCCCTTAGCTGACTGGGTCTAACCCACACCTTCTCTGGGCACCACACATTCATCACAGCAGTAATTTGACATTTATGTGTGATTGTTCAATTCACAGCTGCTCTCCTCTGTACTCAATATGGCCAGTAAGGTGGGAACAATGCCTGATTATGACATTGAACCCCCAATTTCTAGCACAATGCCCTCCATACAGTTGACGCTATATATATATATATACATACATATATATATATATATAAAGAAAGCAGTACTGGTACAAAGGGAAATACAGATGGTGTATCAGAGTTCTTACATATTAAGAGATTTATTTTAAGGAACTGGCTCACACAATTGGAAATAGCAAGTCCAAAGTCTGCAGAGCAGACCAGCAGACGGGAAACTCAGACAATTTCTAAAACAGTGCTGAGGCACAACTAATTCTTCCCTGGAAAAACCTCAGTTTTCTCTTCTTAAGGCTTTTGAATGATTGATTTTGGTTGGTTAACCCAATATAAAGCCCACGCACATGATTGAGGATAATCTACTTTACTTTAAAGTCAACTTTCATAGCAATGACTAGGCTAGTGTTTGACCAAATTCCTAGGCAGCACCATAGCCCAGCCAAGCTGACCCAGAAAATGTAAGCATCACAGACGGCAAAGAAAGCATCAACCCAAGGAGAGGCCAACAGTGAGATAATACTGGAGGTGGAAGAGGCTTGGACCATGATAAGCTTATTTTCACACGCTGGAGGAGATCCCAGCAGAGATGTTCTATTAAAAGCAGAGCACATGGAAAGATCTCCTCTGAAGAAAGCTCAGCCCTGGTCCCCAGGGCCAGAGTGATTCAGCCTGGATTACAGTCTGGGGTGTCAGAGGAGGGTGGGGGTAGGCCTCCCATTGTGAGGTCCAGGTAGAATGCTCAGCTCAGGCTGACCCCAGCCCTGGCTGATCTTCGACTGTGTCCTCACCCCCACTCTCTTGTCAAGCGTGAGCACTCTGACTTATACCAAGATGTCACCACCTCCTCCTGTTCAAGAGCAGACACTCACAGAACCAGTGGAGGTCACGAGGACATGGCCTCACTCAGCTGCCAAGGTCAGACCTGCAAATTTCTCAGTAGACAGCTCTAAAACAGGGAAGTGCTATAAGGACTCAGAAATCTGTGTTCTTAGAAACTGATGAGGAATACAGTCTTGGGTTCTTGAAGGACAATAGGAAAATTCAAGAATCCAGAGAATAGCGGGCACAGGAGGGGCACCACAGGGGAATTTGGAATAGGGGAGCTGAGTCAACAGAAACGGAAACTCCAAGCTGTAGGAAGCTGAGTACCTGGACAAGGGAGCCCCTGGGCCAGCCACCAGAGAAAGGCTCTGAGCACCTGGGGCCAGAAGAAAGCATAGCCTGGTGTCCAGGTGTCCAAGATAGAATGTCTCCAGGAGGAGGCTGACAACTAAATCCAAGATCCCGAGGAAAGGGCACCCTCTCCAGGAAGGAAGGTGGCGAGTTTTCATTCAACAGATGTTCACTGGTCATCTACCTTCACGGCACCCAGCCCTTTGCTGGATGCTGGTGAGTCACACAGTCCTTGCCCTCGATGTGAAGTGAATGAAACAGGCTAAAGAGCTAACTGCACAGGCCCAGGCAAGTGCTGTGACAGAGGACACATCCGTGGGGGCAGCCTAGAGGGCAGCGATGGGGAAGCTCCACAGAGGAGGCACCTTGCGAGGAAAGCTGGCTGGACAGGGATGGGGTGGAACATTCCAGGCTGCAGGGGGCCGGCGCATAGTCCGGAGGCACGGAGAGCTGAGCCTGTTAGAGCAGAGGGAGCACGGAGGAGGTGCAGCCTCTGACCTCATAATGCCCAGGCCACTGGGCCAGCCTTGCCACTTGCAAGCTCTGGAGCCCTCCTCCAGCCCGGGCAAGGCCCGAGGCCCCGGGCAGCCTCCAGGTGCAGCGTCCTCCTGGGGCCGCACCCTTCCCTCTGCCCTGGGGCATGTCTCTACTCACCAATTATGAGGGGCTTCGGCATCAGATTGAGAGGCTGGTGCGGGAAAATGAGGAACTGAAGAAGCTGGTGCGGCTCATTCGGGAGAACTACGAGCTCAAGTCAGCAATCAAGACACAGGCGGGCGGCCTGGGCATCAGCGGGTTCAGCAGCGGGCTTGGTGAGGCGGCGGCCAGTGCTTCTCCACACCAGGGTAACTGCAAGAGGCCTGAGTTCAAGAAAAGCAGGGAGGGAAGGGTGAGACCGCAACCACAAGGGAGGGAGTCTAGGTGTTCAGGTCTGGGTGGAAGGATGTAGATAGCAACAAACTCGGGGTCAGCAGGCCCCCTGGTGGGGGAGGGGCGAGGACATAGGACAGTCAAGATAAAAGGACAAAACTAGGTACCAGCCCCATTCGCCTGACAGCAGGAACCCTTGCCCGAACCCTCCCCTCAGGTGAACTTGCAAGCAGCTCCACAGACTGAATTTTCCAGCTGAAACCCAAACCTGCTGCCCCACTGGACCCGACACAGCACCCACCCTCAGCTTTTCCACTCCACCCCTCCATCCTCCCCTCCGTCTCTCCCTCAGCACCCCAGGCTTCTCCCCCGTTCCTCTCCACTCGGAGGTGACCAGAAGGCAACTAGCCACCTGAGTCTAAAAGCCAAGGAGAGAAACCAGAACTGAGGCTTGAGGTTTGAAATCACTAATGCATGACACCCCTGGGGCTGGAGAGGACGTTGAGAGCGGGGTGAGACAGAAAAACCAGCAAAGAAGTTAGAGCTGTTTGCAGAAAAGCAGTTAAAGTGATGACTTTCAGGGCTAGGCCTGGAGCTTAGGGACTGGGCCAGAAGGGTGTTCAGAGGCCAGGAAGGGATGGCAAAAAGGGATGCACCAAAAGAACAGAAAGCTGTGGGCATAGAATGGCTGGTATTGAAGCAATCAGAGAGAGAACTCCCCAGGGTATGGCAATAGGCTGTCAGAGCATGCTGGTAAGGAGGTGACAAAATGCCTTCGCATTTGTCATATCCACATCCTCTCCCTCTCTGCAATGTCCTTCCTGTCCTGGAGAAGGCTGTGTGCCTCCTTCCCAGTGCACTTCTGCACCCACACTTGGTGCCCATGAGCCCCTGTGGAGACCCCCACTCCATCAAAGGACCTGCTCCTTGCCATCCTGCTGCCCCACCTCCACTCTGCTCATCAACAGGTGTGAGGCCAGCCTCCTTCACTGAAAGAGGACTCTGCTCTTTCAGTCTCTACCATTTAAGGCTCTATTGCTCTGCAGCGGACCTTGACACTCCGCTGTTCTAGAAAGGTGGCTTCCTAGATGCCACATCCTTCTCAAACTCTGCATGCCACTTGGTTTTTTGGCTGTAAGGTATGTGGGGTCTTAGCTTCCTGACCAAGGATCGAAATTGAACTCATGTCCCCTACACTGGAAGGCAAAGTCTTAACCACAGGACTGCCAGGGAAGTCGCTGCATGGCACTTGGGACTGATAACCCTCCTCTTTCTGAGTTCCAAGAACACCTTCAGCTGGGTCATCCTCCCCCATCTCAGCTCCTAGTCTGGTTCAGGCCCTGCCCTCCAGCCAGCCTGCCCACCTGGGCTTTTCTCTCCACTAGAAGTGGTAATCTGGAGAAGGCAATGGCAACCCACTCCAGTACTCTTGCATGGAAAATTCCATGGACGGAGAAGCCTAGTAGGCTACAGTCCATGGGGTCTCAAAGAGTCTGACACGACTGAGTGCCTTCACTTTCACTTTTCACTTTCATGTATTAGAGAAAGAAATGGAAACCCACTCCAGTATTCTTGCCTGGAGAATCCCAGAGACAGGGGAGCCTGGTGGGCTGCCATCTATGGGGTTGCACAGAGTCGGACATGTCTGAAGTGACTTAGCAGCAGCAGCAGAAGTGGTAATCAGGCCAAGGAGTCCCTGGAACTCAGCTCACTCTAAACTAGGCATGCTCCTGATTAAGAACTTGACCTTTTGACCTGAGGCTACTCCCCCTCAGGTCTGGGCTCCTTCCCCTACAGTCCAGTTCCAGTTGGAAGCTGCCTCCCCCTGCTTTCTACCCACTGGGTTTCCCACCTCCCAGCCTGGCTGTGGTCTGGAACTGGGCTTCACAGTCCTCCCTTACTGGTCACAAGCACAGAGGTCTCTCTCCTCTGAAAGGGTCTATCATCCATGAGTCTGAGACAACAGACAGGGCAACAAAAATTATATGCTCGAGGAGATACAATATTTAAGAAATGTTACACTTCAATAGAATGGGAAAGACCAGAGATCTCTTCAAGAAAATTAGAGATACCGAGGGACTATTTCCTGCAAAGATGGGCACAATAAAGGACAGGAACAGTATGGACCTAAAAGAAGCAGAAGATATTAAGAAGAGGTGGTGAGAATACACAGAAGAACCATACAAAAAAAGATCTTCATGACCCAGATAATCATGATGGTGTGATCACTCACCTAGAGCCAGATATCCCTGGAATGCAAAGTCAAGTGGGCCTTAGGAAGCATCACTATGAACAAAGCTAGTGGAGGTGATAGAATTCCAGTTGAGCTATTTCAAATCCTAAAAGATGATGCTGTGAAAGTGCTGCACTCAATATGCCATCAAATTTGGAAAACTCAGTAGTGGACACAGGACTGGAAAAGTCCTGCCTTTCATTCCAATCCCAAAGACAGGCAATGCCAAAGAATGCTCAAACTACCACACAATTGCACTTATCTCACATGCTAGCAAAGTAATTCTCAAAATTCTCCAAGCCAGGCTTCAACAGAACATGAAGCATGAACTTGCAGATGTTCAAGCTGGATTTAGAAAAGGCAGAGGAACCACAGATCAAATTGCCAACATGCACTGGATTATCGAAAAAGCAAGAGAGTTCAAAAAAAACATCTACTTCTGCTTTATTGACTATGCCAAAGCCTATGACTGTGTGGATCACAACAAACTGTGGAAAATTCTGAAAGAGATGGGAATACCAAAACACCTGACCTGCCTCCTGAGAAATCTGTATGCAGGACAAGAAGCAACAGTTAGAACTGGACATGGAACAACACACTGGTTCCAAGTTGGGAAAGGAATACGTCAAGGCTGTGTATTGTCACCCTGCTTATTTAACTTATACACTGGGTGTTCATTGGAAGGACTGATGTTGAAGCTGAAACTCCAATACTTTGGCCACCTGATGTGAAGAACTGACTCACTGGAAAAGATCCTGATGCTGGGAAAGATTGAGGGCAGGAGGAGAAGGGGAATGACAGAGGATGAGATGGTTGGATGGCATCGCTGACTCAATGGACATGGGTTTGGATGGACTCCAGGAGTTGGTGATGGACAGAGAGGTCTTGTGCGCTGCGGTTCACAGGGTTGCAAAGAGTCGGACACGACTGAGCGACTGAACTGAACTCAACTCAACTCAACTAGAGTACATCATGAGAAATACTGGACTGGATGAAGCACAAGCTAGAATCAAGATTGCCTGGGGAGATATCAATAACCTCAGTTATACAGATGACACCATCCTTATGGCAGAAAGCAAAGAAGAACTAAAGAGCCTCTTGATTAAAGTGAAAGAGGAGAATGAAAAAGTTGGCTTAAGATTCAACAATCAGAAAACTAAGATCATGGCATCTGGTCCCATCAATTCATGGCAAATAGATGGGGAAACAGTGGAAACAGTGACAGAGTTTATTTTCTTGGGCTCTAAAATCACTGCATATGGTGACTGCAGCCATGAAATTAAAAGACACTTGGTCCTTGGAAGAAAAGTTTTGACCAACCTAGACAACATATTAAAAACAGAGATCTAGTCAAAGCTACGGTTTTTCCAGTAGTCATATATGTATGTGAGTTGGACTATAAAGAAAACAACGCCAAAGAATTGATGCTTTTGAACTGTGGTGTTGGAGAAGACTGTTGAGAGTCCCTTGGACAGCAAGGAGATCCAACCAGTCCATCCTAAAGAAAATCAGTCCTGAATATTCATTGGAAGGACTGATGCTGAAGCTTTGGCCCCCTGATGTGAAGAACTGACTTATTTGAAAAGGCTCTGATACTGGGAAAGATTGACGGCAGGAGGAGAAGGGGACGACAGAGGATGAGGTGGTTGGATGGAATCACCAACTCAATGGACATGAGTTTGAGTAAGCTCCCAGAGTTGGTGACGGACAAGGAAGCCTGGCACGCTTCAGTCCATGGGGGTCACAAAGAGTCAGACACAACTGAGCGATTGAACTGAACTGAACACTTTAAGAAATTAGACTGTGATTCCCAACTCCCAAGCTAACCAAGCAAGCCTTCTCTTTTTAGGTTTGGTTCTTGAGAGAATTCTTGGACCACTTCTGCTCTCCCGACTCTGAAGGGTCAAGCTTGGAGGGTTAGGAAAAGATTTCTGGTGATGAGCCCAGACAGCCAGCCCTGAAGGGGGAAAGGGACATTCCAGGGGGAAGAATAGTCTGTGCAAAGGCCTGGGCCAAAGGTTGCAGGAGTGAGAAATAGATTGCGTGGTTAAAGCCCTCGGTGTGCATGGTGTTTAGTGTGTGGGTGTGGGTATAGAGTGGGGGGTGTGTGTGAGCATGTGAACATGGTGTTAGTGTGTATGACCCATGAGTGTATAGTGTGATGTATGTGTGGAGTGTGTGGTATAGGTGGGTAAGTGAATAGTATGTGTAATATGTGTGCCTTGGGAGTGTGTGTTGTACAAGTATGAAAAAAGGTGTGTGTGTGAATGTGTGAGTGCAGTATGTGTGGCATATGTGAGTGTCTTGTGAGTTGCTAAGTGTATAGTGTGTGGATAATCATATACTTTGATACAATAGAATAGTATGTGTAAGTACGTTTGTGAATGTGTGTTTTAGTGTGGGACATGTATGAGTGTGTGGTGTGTGGGTATTAGAGTATGTTTATGCTATGTGTGCTAGTGTGAAGTGTGTGTGTACTGCTTGCATTTGTGAGTGTACTTGAGGGAGCTGGGGTCAGTGAGAGGTGCTAATGCAGTTAGAGGCCAGCAGGGCTCAGATGCCGAGGACTGCGAATGACATATTGAGGAGCCTGGACGTGCTCCCAAAGGCAGTGAGCAGACGCTGGCGGGTTCCTACAAGGAGTAATCACATTTGTGCTTCAGAAAGACCGTTCCTGCTGCTGTGGGGAAACAGAGTCAAGGGAGATGAGAGTAAGGAAGGGAAACGAATTAGACTGCGGCT